AGAGAGGCAGGCAGAGAGAGGAGGAAGCAGGCTCCATGCTGAGCAGAGAGCCAGATGCAGGGCTCGATCCCAGGACCTTGGGATCATGACCTGAGCTGAAGGCAGAGGCTTTAACCCACTGAACCACACAGGCACCCCGATATTCAGGTTTATTACATCCGTTGAGCTCTAGTTTTTAGTAGAAAACAGACCTTTCACAATAAACATGGTGTAAATTCTGGAAGGGTAAGTCCCATCAGATCAAACTGCTAAGTCACCAAGGTGTCTGTTATATAGTCAACTGGATGGAATTATACAAAATCACCATTTTTCAAATCATCCTTCCTCACCTGGCAGTTCAGAAAGTCATCCAGAGGCAAACGATGTGAGCTTGAAGAGCAGAGCCAGGACTCAAAGACTGAGGTCCTGACATCAGATCTCCTGTTAAACCATTAGCTCCACTCTGCACAGCTGAAGGAATACTCTGAGGAAATGGAAAAACTGGTTCCTAACTAGAGAGTTTAACATTTCTGAACAAACTGAAGAGATCAAAATTACTGAAGATGACTGATAAACCCTCTGTCAGCAAGTGCAAAGGAAGAGGAGAGCAGAAGATGACTATATTAGGTGCTGAATTCCAGCGGGAAGTTTGCCTGCGTGCTTGTTTTTGCCTCTAGAGCCTAAACACCCTTTTCAAAGGTACCTGGCATGTCAAGGTGATGGAAATTACACAAACACACCCCATGGCAAATAAATGGGGTCAGGGCACGGCTGGTGAGTGTGGCTTCAGTCCTGTCACTGATCTTGAAAAAACAAACACTGGTTTCACAACCATCATTTTTCAGGACATGCACAGTATGTGAGCTCAGGGCAGGGAGGCGTGGTTAGGAGGAAAAGCAAAAAGACTCCGGTCAAGATTTATCCTTTATTTTCTGTAATACTGCAAATGCTTCCAGAATCCCATTAAAGGATGAACTGTAGGGAAATCCTAAAGCTCTCTTTGTATCCAGGACTCAACGGGTTACCTGGCAGTCACTATACCAAGGACTTGGTGTTCTATCCCCAACTAATAATATCGATGTTTTTCTTCAAACCCACAAGCTCTTCCCAGAGGTCCAAGAACTACTGGCTTGATCCTCATGCTGCCATTTTAGGTGAGTCACTGGGCACTTGACTTGTGTGTGGCAGGTTCTGGGTCTCTGGGCACAGATCTCTAGAAATCAGAAATGACTTTCCAATTTCAAAGCCTCAAATCCACGAACCATAATGATTTTAAATTATTTCTCGTATATCAGTGTTCTCCCAGGCCTGAAAAGTAGCACAAAGTTATAATTCCTGGAATGAAGACATCCTACACCTACCTACCTACTTTGTATATACTCGAAGAGTTCTACCTCCTTCTATGATCAAGGGAATGAAAAGTAAACCTGTCACCCTCTTATGAGACTAAGGAGCCCAGGTTGTATTTCTGACTACAGGAGAATAGCCACTGCTGCACAGAGAACCCATTGGCAGAGGCGCCATTGCTAAGTACATCTGCATTTGCTTTAATCTGACTCGAGAAGTCTGGGCAGCTAGATTTTCCCTTCTATTGAGGAACAATTAAATGTTTCTTACACAGTTCTAATTCTCCCTTATTGTTAGATAATCACAACACTACAGTTAAACCTGTCCTGCTAGGGCACCTGGATGGCTCAGTTGGTTAAGCGACTGCCTTTGGCTCAGGTCATGATCCCAGAGAACTGAGTCCCGCATTGGGCTCCCAGCTCTATGGGGAGCCTGCTTCTCCCTCCAATCTTCTCCCCTCTCATGCTCTCTCTTACTCTCTCTCAAATAAATTAAAAAAAAAAAAATTTAATAAAAAATAAAATAAAAAAACCTGTCCTACTAAGGTTTAATGTTAAGGGGGAGTAGGGGGGCACCTGTCACCTGTGCGATTGTCCAACAGAACCAAAGGAGACATAGAGACAAGCACACTAAAACATTATACTACAGACTGAAGGCTTGAAGACCTATGCAACAACTGCTGCACCCCTCAAGAGCCTTTTGCATACTGAATTCTTCTTACCGTCAACTGATAAGCAAAGTTTCATCATCCCAAGAGGCAGGCAGGTGTTTGCAACAAAGAAATTTTAAGACAATAAAACAACCAACAACAGCTAACGCACATATGTGCTCATGCAAACCCTCACACACAGAAAACCACCTGCCCTACTCTCTTTCTGGGATCAAGGCCATACTCAAAAAAGAATTTTGTATTAAAGTGATATATGCATGATGAGATGGAGGCTACCGTGTCAATCTGGCACATTAAAGGTAAGCATGGGAAGAGCAGATGTTTCTGAGACCCACACTAAACCCTGTGGCCCGTCTACAAGGAAGGATTGGGGCATGAGGTCAGACAGAGAAATGGAGGTGCTGATCCCTACGGAGACATCCTGACAATGCTCATAATTCACAAAAGCTTCCTTTCTTTAGGATCCTAACGACAACTTGGACCTAACAACTGCTAGGCTTCTGAAAAAGAAATGACCACTTTTTCATTGAAATATCCACTTTCCTAAAAGCCAGAGCTGTCTGTAATTTTTTAGTGGAAAGAAAACCCATGTGGGAAGTACAGAAGAGAACTTCAGGACAGTGATTATTTTGGGATGGCAGAAAGGAGAAAAATACTGGAGAGGAGGGTGGTGAACTGGATCTGCCCAAAAAAGAGAGATCCACAGTAAATATGTTAAAATGTTAGCATTTGTTCAATGTGGGTGGCAGGTAACCAGAAATCTCTTACACATACTCATTTTTAAGTTTTTCTGCATGTTTGAAGTACTTTATAATTAAAAAAAAAAGTAAAATATTTTAAATGTGAAAAGGAGACACAAAATGCACAAAGAAAACAAGGGCTGGAGTCTAAGAATGGGAGGTGGCAAAGTCCAATGTTGCTTTGATTAAATGTAATTGCCAAGCAACACAGTAAATACACACAAGCCTCCTGGGAGCACTAAAACCCAAGATAACACACACTGAAGTTAGAACCCACTTTATAGTTTTACATTTTGTCACCAGTCTTTTGATAGAAATCTTGTTAACAAAAGGCACATGGGTAGACGTATCCTTGGCCAAATGAAATGCATGTCCATATTGGCAGTTGTGCGGAAGGATGTGTAGTATTATTTTAATGTGCGTTTGTTAATCTAGCTGAAAGCCAAACTTTAGGAGGCCTAAGTATGGCAGCTTGCTTTTCAGCACTCAGAATAGGTAGGATCAGAGTGTGACACAACAGTACACATCACTGTTCAGCATTCAGAGAACAGTGGCAAGATTCAGGCCTGGGCTAACAAATGCAGCTGTTACCATGGAGGAAGAACTCAAAAAATCCACAGCTTTCTTTTCAAGGGTCCTCTACCAAATGGTCCACACCAGAATGGAATGACAGCCATTTAGAGCCTCCATGGGCCTTGTCACCAGTTTCTCCACATGTGCACTTTGGGATAGAATATCATGAAATCATTGAATTAGGGTATAAGGTTACCAAATGTCAGTTCTGTGAGTTGGTATTATCACCTGAGCACAGGCAAAAATCACAGAAATATCCTAGAAGTTCCAAACTGTCAGCAGAGGAGACAAGACTGGCCCATAGATACTTTGTTGGTCTTACACATCATTTCTCTAACACTTGAATTGGGATAATACTCATAAAACTCTGGATTGCTGTGTTCTCTTTCCTAAATGTCAGAAGGAACATTTCCTAAATGTCAGAAGGAACACCAGCAACACTGGGCTGGTGTGAGCTAAGTGGCGGCGACTGAGGTTATATCAGGGCTGTTCACCATAATCCCCACAGGCCTCAACCTCCACACTCACCAGCCTCCCCTTAATGCTGCTTGCCTTGCCCTTATAGGCATTTTAGCCCATGGCACATATTAAGGGTGCCGCACCTTAGAGGCACTAGAAATAAATAAATTCTCCTTAGAGCAGAATTAGAGGTTGGGAGGGAGACAGAGAGAAAGGGCTCAGTTTCTAGAATTCTGAATTCCAACACAGACTAGAAGAAAGAAGGAAGAACGTTACCGAAGTCATTCCCATCATCACCATACATCCATTCCCATGGCCTGTTTATGAGCTCCAACGTACACAACTCCTTTTCTTAGGTCAGCGTGTCCCTTGAACACATGAGATTCCAGACTCTGAACAATGCCCATTTCAGCTTAAGAGGGAATAGCTTCTGCTCCCGTGTTGCCTAAGGGACTCACAGAGGTGTACTGGCTTGTTTTCGATGCAATGCTCCCACCACCCAAGCCAGCCATGGGAATTCCTTTCTACTTGGTAATGCATCAGAGGCCCACAGATACTGAGCTCAAACTCATATCAAGTAAACTAAGCAGCACACTGTGACATTTGTTAAGCCAGGAGGAAGAGAAATTATAGCTATAAACAAAAGATGTTTGATGCAGAGAGGAGAAATTACTCATCAATACAACATAAGTGTCAGACACACTCACACAAAAGATGCACAGAGGGAAAGGAAACAGACTGCCACTCATTAATCAGCTGCAGGAACATATAAAAGTTCTAAATCAAATGAAGTTTCCAAGGAAGAACTGTCATAAACTCCCTATTGTGCATAGATACACACACATATATTTATATATATAGTCATAATTATGATAAAGTTCAAGATAAATTAAGTCACCTCTGCATACACACACTATGTTAAAAAAAAAAAAAAAAAAAAAAGAGAGAGAGAGAAGAGACACCAAGCAGGAAAACTTCCAGAGTAGAGTATATCATTGTCAAGATACCTTATTTTCTCAAAACCTAATTTTCTTGATCAGAAGTATCAAAATGAACATTCTCGCTAGTGTCTGGAGAGTTTCAAGAAACATCTCACAATCTAAAAAGAAGAGTCTTTCTCTTTCAGGTTACAGGATCATTGGCAGAAAAAATTAAAAACCATACCCAAACCTAATTTCCACAACTTGGTTTTTTTAGGGCCATAGAGCGGGAAGAAAAAGGTAAACACTTACCACAGACAGCTGGCTCCACGTGGACCTCAGCGGCTTGTGGTGAATCACAATTTTTTCATCTGACTTCTGTTCTTTGGGCTCCAACTCTTCATCAGAGTCAATGTCAAGAGCCTTTTCTTTGTAGTTCTGATACAGGACAGCATTTTCTGCAAGAAACATAAACCCTACATGTCACTAATGGCCCCCATCATTATGCTAGTTGTTCTAAACAAACATCCAGATTTATAAAGTGTTTGGTCTCTAGTTTAATAAACAACAAAGAAGCAAATGGATTTTGTCACGGAAGAAAAATTACCAAAAAGTGATTTTCTCACTCGCACAGCTCTGTCCCAAATTCATGCATAGGAAGGGGAAGGATCCATGCATAAAATACCCACTGAAGCAAAGTTTCCACATCTCTGTCCACCCCTCTTGGAGGATAGCCAGGCCTATTAAATCACTGGGGTTTTTGGTGGGGGGGGGAGGAGGTAAACTGAATACATTTCCTTCTTTTCCTTCAAAGTCCATCACCATTCATTTACCTATTTAACAAACATGTATTATATATCTACAATGTGCCAAGAGCTGGGAGTAAATGGAAAATAAAAGACACTTCCTGTGCCTTCACGAGCTAAAAATAGGAAGAGAAAATAGTCCAAGTCACTCAGTCATTTGTTCATTCAACTGATATCTGGAAAAGGCCTACTAGATGCCAACAACTGCTGAGCAATAGGGATACAACGATGAACAAAAAAGATGAAAATCTCGATCTTCATAGAGTGGACATCAAAGTGAGCAGAGAATGACAATAAATAAGTGACTCTTCGGGTATGTCAGATGCAGGTAAGTGTCATGGAGAAAAATAAAACACAGAAAGGAAGGGAGTGTTACAAAGGGGGTATGTATTTTTTAAATAGGGTGGTTTAGGGAGGCCTCACCAAGATGATATTTAAGCAATGACCTAAAAAAGGTGAGAAAGCAAGCCACCTTACAGCCAGCGAAAGAACAGAACATCAGAGGGAAGAGCAAGTACAAAGGTCCTGGGACAGGAGTCTGTTTTGTACATCTACATGTACAAAGACCAGCAAGGAAGGCTGTACGGCTGAAATGGGGGAAGGAAAGGGAAAAAGCTTAAGAAGGGGGGCTGAGGATGAACAGGAGGCAGATCATGTAGGCCCTTGCTTCCATGCCACTAAAGGACTCTGGTTTTCACTCCAAGTAAGAAGGCAAGTCACTATTGGGTTGAGGACACAATAATCTTGTACATAAACATACCTACAAGCTGAGTAATTTATATACAGGTGCTCTGAGAACAAGAGTCTCTCAGCAGGGCATGACCCAGTCTGGGGGTCAGACAGTGTTACTAAGGAAAAATATAAGATGACAGGTGAGAAGTCACAGAGGTAAGGAGAAAGCATATAAAAAAAGCCCTGAGGCAAGAAGAAACGTAATACCTTAAAAGAAAAAAGGAAAAGTCCACGTGTAGAGCATGGGCGTCTAGTGGGCAAAGGTATAAGGTGAGTTTAGGGAGATGAGCCAGACAGTCTAAATCATGTAGAGGTTTGCAGGCAATGTTAAAGAACTAGATTTTTATCCCACATCCAAAACGACTGAATTTCTTTCACACTGCAAAGACTGCATTTTATCCTGATGGCAGTGTGAATCCACTGAAAGGAAAAATTGGATTCTATTGTTGGAGAAAATACTGACTGTGTAGGAGACTAATTAGGATGCTATGGGAGAATGATCACCTGGGTTCCTGGGGATGGGCTGGAGATGCGGGGCAGAGAAAGGGAGGTGATCAGGATGTTTCCTAGGTCCTTGGGGCCCAACAACAGCACAGGAGGAGATGGCAACACCTGAAAAGATTCAGCGGGCAGAGGGAAAGACTGAATTTGGTTTGGGACGCACTGAGCTTGCCCTGCCCTTCCCATCTACCAGAGCTGGCAAACGTCTGCCCCCTTTCCAGCAACTGCTACATGTTCTGTAGGCACCGTGACTAAAATAATACTGGACTCAATGCAAGATTTTCCTGTTCTCGGATTGTCTTACACATGTGAAACTGATGGTGAGGGTAAAGACTGGGTTACCACACGTCTCTAGTGCTCTTTAAAGTACTTAGAGGCTGACACAAAACATATGCATACAGTTGATAAGATTCCTCATTCGTTCTCAGCATAACATTATAACAAAGGCAGTAAGAGTTCTCATACATGATGGAACTAAGGCTTGGTGAGGTTACGATGCTTGCTCAGAGTCACTCAACTGATGAACAGAAGCAGTAGGAGAGGAACCAAGGTCCCTGACTACACCATGACAGGTTCTTACCACTCTCCTGCACCTCATCCTGACTTACAGTCTTGTTAGCCATTATCTGTAAGAATTCTGTATTCCTCATATACATGTATGTAAGAGCAATTTCCAGGTCATCATATTTGAGAAGACACAAGTGAACGCATAGAAAAGCTCCATATAAAAGGAAAACAACATAGAACTATAAAAAAGTTGTGTCCTCTGACTTAAAAAAAAAAAAAAGTGCGGGGCGCCTGGGTGGCTCAGTGGGTTAAAACCTCTGCCTTCAGCTCGGGTTGTGATCTCAGGGTCCTGGGATCGAGCCCCGCTTCGGGCTCTCTGCTCAGCGGGGAGCCTGCTTCCCCCTCCCTCTCTCTGCCTGCCTCTCTGCCTACTTGTGATCTCTGTCTGTCAAATAAGTAAATAAAATCTTTATAAAAAAAAAAAAAGGCGCAACAATATCTAACCCTTTGAGACAGAAGTCCCAAAATTAATGTCATATTCAAGAAGATGCAAAACATCTCTAAATACGTATTAGGTAGACGCTCTGTTCACTTGATGATCACAAAGTGGTACAAGAGGAAGTCAATTGGACTAAAAACCAGGTATCTGTCCTACTACCGCAGTGTGACAGTGGGCAAGGCACTAAACCTCTCTGAGCTCCCAGTTTCCTCAACTATAAAACCAGGGAGATGAATTTGTCTAAACCAGCTAAAATACTGTATCTGGGTTTCTTCTCCATACAGAGCAGTTTCCTAAGATTCGTGCAATGAAAACTTTTTTTTTTTTAACTGGTCATGTCGCAAACCTCCAAGGGAGCTGATTTTTATAAGAAATATATAGGGAAATAGTTTATAATCACCTAAGATTATGTATTTTATAACTCTGGGTGATTTTACATCAGATTTACTGACAGAGAGGTATACTCTTCTTCATGACTCTTCAAAGGTTAGAAAAAATCTTAACATTTCAAAATATGACAGCAAGGAACTACCTTCACCTTCACCATGCTCCCCAGACCTGCAAGGCTGCAGGTAGGGCTCCTCACTCACTTTGTGCCCTTCCAGTTGGTGGACACTTGACCCATCTGTTTACCAAAGTCCGCTAATCTGATTAGGGTTTGAACACCTGGCCAAATCAGCTTTTCTATACGGATTACAGATTGTTAGGAATATATTTCTAGCAGCCAGGAGAGTTAGATTTCCCCAAAATTGAAACTTGATAAGCAAACAGGAAGTCAGAAGTAACACTAAAATGTGGAAATATGGGGAAAAGAATATTAAGTCAAAGGAAGTAAGACTTAAGATCTAAATGTCAAACTCAGGATTTTTTTTTAAGATATTATTTATTTATTTGAAAGAGTGAGAGAGAACATGAGAAGGGAGAAGGTCAGAGAGAGAAGCAGACTCCCCATGGAGCCGGGACCCCAATGCAGGACTCAATCCCAGGACTCCAGGATCATGCCTTGAGCTGAAGGCAGTCACTTAACCAACTAAGCCACCCAGGTGCCCCAAATTCAGGATCTTTAACTAAAAAGCTGGACTAGCTCTTACTCTGTCTCCATTTTTTCGAGGGAGGTGAGGCTAGAACCAGAGTAGATAAGAATTAAAAATCCAGGACATTGGCTGACAAAGTCATCAACTTACAAAAAATGTTATTAATTCCACTCACTGCTGGTATTACTGGATGAAAATTAAGCTCAGTGCAGAGCTTTGCACTGTATAATTTGGGAAGAAGTTGGACATTTTTCTCATCTTAAGTGTTTTTGTTACTGCAGCTGGATTTCAACTTATAATTGATATTCCACATTGAAACAGCAATAAAAGTCTGGAAAATCAAATGCTTACCTTCCCCATCAAATGTTCCTTGTCCTTTCAGCATTTTTTTCTAAGAAACAAGAAAAGCAAAAAAGGAAAAAGCAAAGCAAACTATGTATGAATGAGCCAAATAGAAAATACAGCTATTTTAAGAAAAAGTATTACTTCTTGTTGTTACATTCATTAGATTTCCAAAAGCAGACAGCAGATGATCCCTCGAGTAGTTCACTTATCTGACTACGATAATCCAATAAAATGGTGAAATAAAATGTACAATGTCCCCCACCCCCAGCAAAAGAGCTTGAGAACCCTGAGATGACCAGTAGTTCAGCTCATTTCACTACTTAAGATTCACCATCACAAAAAAAAAAAAAAAAAAAAAAGATTCACCATCACTGTTAAATTGAACTTTGCTATACTTGTAGAGTTGGGGTGGGGGAACACACCTAAAATGTTATGTAATTTCTTTAAGGTCATGACATCAAAAATAAAATAGCCTTCTTTGTATATTACATATTGACATTCATATAACTGTTCCAGTTCTCTGATTAATCAAAAAAAGTTGTGGCTGCCAAAATGAATTTCTGCTGAGATCTGCCTTCTTCCCAGAGAAAGAAGCACATGCACACTCCAAAATATCATTCTTTAGTTTTCCTCTATCTCTTTAGGTCATGTTTGGCAATATTTTAACACATGCAACTCCCAGGCCTTTATCAGGGAGCAATACACACAGTTCATTCGGACCTTAAGTTCTGAGCTACTAACTAGTTAGATGCACTCAAGTTCAAGAATAAATGGGCACAACATGGGAATAAAATACAACCACAGACCGTGGAGACAGAAAGAAGCAACAACAAAGATGACAAACTATTTGTATCTTCTGTAATTCTGACAATCATTTTTTAAGTTCACATTTTACCTGAATGGTATTTAGTATGTTATCACCACTCAAAAAGTCATTCTAATTAATTAACGTAAATCAATTACTTCCAGTAACTAAAATAATCAACATGCTCAAAAGAAATGAGTTTCCTGTATCACCCGTGATGAATCAGCAACCCCTGACACCTCTAGACCAGCTCCAGACAGTTGACCATACAGTCAAAAGTACCATGCCTGCTCTCCACCCTCTGTTCAGTTTCCTGTATTAAAAGTGTTCAGGATTCAGCCCATACCTAATTCGCTGCATTTCTTTTTCACATTAGGTAGGCCTCCACATTTTGCCTGAGATTAAAAAGTTAAAACCGTGATAAGACTTTTACTTCCTCCCACAAAGTTGCATTAACCTGGCTGTGACTGCCAGAAACAGCATGGCCAAGAGACAGACGTGTACAGGTCTGATCAACAAGAGAATTAAAAGAGAACAATAACTTCTAGTTTCCTCCGTGCCCCTCCTCCCCACCCCCAACACCTTCGCTTTCGGCTTGGTGAACGCCTGGCTTCACGAGCGACACTCCTGCCCACTCTTACCTTTATCCTTCCCAGACTGGAGAACTTCTCCTTGTCTTCCATCACCGCTTTCAGAACAGGCTGGGACATTCTGTTCTTCTTCTTTGAAGTGGTAGGACTGTCAAAATCAAAGCCACTGACCACCGCCCTGCGATAGGATGTGGATCGCAAGCCTCGCCGCAGAGACCCTGGGCTGTCCACGTCGTTCTCCACGTCGCCCTCATCCTCTGAGGGGCCCAGAGATGCTCCGAGGCCCTCCACCATGCTGTGCACCTTGAGGAGTCTCCTGTGGGGCTCCACACTCTGACTGTTGGACTTACTTACTTTAATTTCCGAGGCCAGGCTCTTCGGAATGATTTGCTGCTTCCCCACTTTGAGGGCGGCGGGGCTGTTAGTGCTCAAAACCACCGAAGGATTCTCTGGAAGCTCGTTCTCCTGTGAGGGCAGTCTTTGGAGGGGGAGTTTGTGTTCCAAAGAACTTTTCTGGGGCGCAGGAGAGACTTTCGTGGGTTCTGGCTCAGGGTCCTTAGTCGCCTGGCCAGATCGCGAACCAGAGCCTGGGGAGTCGATTTTAGGGAAAAGCCCATTTGCAGCGGGCGAAGACAAGGGGCTCGTCGTCGATGCGGTCAGGTCTACCTCCCAGCTGCAGCAGGGGGGCGATTTGGTAGTCCGCTGGGGGCGCACAGGCTGCGGTGGGGGTGAGGTCACAGCGCCATTCGCTGGGGATTTCGAGGAGACCCCTGACACTGCTTTGGGAGCCTGGGGAGACTTGGGCCGTCGCAGCCGAGGAGAGACAGATCTATATTCCGGGGAGATCACCACCCTCGTATGGGCACACAGAAGCAGCGGGTTCCCCTGGACCGTCCTGCCCTCCGAAGCGGTGGGTACCTGGGTGGGAGCCTGCATGGCGGGGAGCGTCCCTCGGTCCTCCACGGGGAAATCCGTGATCAGCAACCCACTGGGGCTCTGGTAGGATTGGGGCCTCGGCTTGCTCCGGCCCAGCAACTGAGGCTGAGGAGTTGACCGCCTCCGCCACAAAGGGGTTAAGCTGTTGCTAGAAAAATCCACTTCACTCTCGCTGTCCATAGCGGAGACTCCGAGGTCAGCCCGGGAAGGAACAGCACCCAGTTGCCTAAAGAGGAAAGAAATCATGGAACTTTGCCTCGGGACAAGCAGGCACGCCTTGCAGACGCGCTCCAAGCCTGGCGGTCACCCGACTGCTGTGCGCGACACAACTGCGTGTCGACTACCCACCCCTGCTAGGGCAAAATCTGCGCTCACCGCAATGCGCGGTCCGTGAGAGAAATCTGGGCTGTGACCAGGCGGAATAATCCAATTACCTCCGCGTCCCTCCAGCGCCCAAAGACCACCCGCACGGAAAAAGCCCGCCACCAGGACGCAGGGTGCAAGCTGATGCACAGGAAACTTTGCGACGAGTTCAGCTTTTTGGAGAAACTTGCCACCGCACGACGCTCCCCTCCGCCGCCATCCAGCTGCCCAGCCAGGTCGTTGGCCCCCTCTCGGTCGAGCCGCCCGGCTCCTAGGCGGATTTACCTTCGGGGCTTTACAGAGCCCAGAGCCAGCGAACGCCCACCGGCCCTTGGGTGGCCCGGGTCTCGGACGGAATCTCAGCAGCCGGGGAGCTCCGGAGAGCACAGCGGCCGACCCGAGCCGTCGGCTCCGCCCTCAAGCTTGGTCCAGCCCCCAGCCTTAGCCCCGCCCCAGCCTTAGCCACCCTCCCACCGGCCTCTGCCGCTGGGAGCTCAGAGCCTGTCTTCCCGCCTTGGCGTACCTTCCATCTTCTGCCGTCTCGCTTTGAAACACTGGCGCACACGTGGGCTGGGTGCGGAACTTCAGGGTTCAGTGCCGGGAGCTGTGGGCGCACTAAGTGTTTGCCAGAAGCACAGCGTGAGAACGAGCGTGGGAGCTACGCCGAGCTGCAATTTAGAAAGCCCTGGGGGCAGGGTTGGGGGGGGTGCTGAGGAGGTTGGCGGGGGGTAGTCCGGGGTGAGGAGGGTTTGTGAAATGCGTGAGATGGGACGCGTAGCTCTAAACGCTGGGAGTCAGTTCCCTCTCAGCGCTGGGGTGGTCTTAAAACACAAATCTGATCCCCTTGCTCCCCGGCTTAAAATACTTTATAATAGAGACTGTTAGATACCCTTGCTTGTGCTTCGAGTATTTCCGGAGGGTTGTGTGCAGGCAGCTGGGGGCGGGGGGGGGGAGGGCACGGTGGGACTGGGTACCTAGGAAACGGGTGGGACTGGTAATTTTCTTTCAAAAGGTCTTGGATCTTTTATGCTTTGTATGTTTTTGTTTTTGTCATCATTGTTTTTAGAAAGGGGGAGAGGCAGAGGGAGAGAAAGAAATTTTTTTTTTTTTTTTTTTTTTTTTGAGAGAAAGAAAATCTTAAGGGAACTCCACCCCCAGCGCCAGCCGCTCTGGGACTGAATCTCACAGACCTTGAGATCGTGACCTCTGAGGAAATCAAGGCCCAACCAACTGAATCACACAAGTGTCCAGAACATTTTGTTTCGAATCCTGGATTTTACCATGTAAAAGATAAATGTAAATTAAACTACAAATATATATATATATGTATATGTATATATATATATGTATATATATATATATACACACACACATTAAATAAAATTCAAACTCTATAATTTAAAAGGCCTTGCAGGATCTGCCTACCTCTGCAACAGTCTTTTCTCCCAACATTTTTTCCTTCATTATTCTTAGGCCACTGCCACTTCAATTTTGACCTCCCCAGAACCTGCCCTTTTGTTCTCCTTTACCTTCTGAGGTGTTACTCCATCAGAGATTTCCCTGACCTCTCCTGAATCAGACCACAGCCCTGTTTATATTCCCCCAGCCACCTGTTCTCTTTCTTTTCTACATTTAATGACAATTTACATATATACACATTTATTTTTGTGTTTATGTTTACTATCTGTTTTGTCTTCTTTGGACTGTAAGCATCAAGAGGGCAGAAGCCATGTTGATTTATTGCCCCTCTGTATTCCAGGCCCGCAGTGGGCACATAGTATTTGTTGAACGAATTTGTGAGAGGAATGAAGTAAGGACAGTGACCATCTTTCCGGAGTGCTCCATTGCCAAATAGTAGAAAGTTGGTTGCATCCTAGCCAAGTTCCTGTTATGTGAGAAGAATAAGGCAAACTTGAGAGGACAAATGACCGTATGATCTTTGTAATTAATTCTATCAGCAAGACTTGTGGGCTGTTCTCCCAAGTTCTCATTCAGCATTCATGCATTCATTCAGCAGAGATACTGTGCACATCCACTGTGTGCAACTTAAGCTACTCATTTTTGCCCTACATTCATTGAATGTAATGGTCAAAATAGTGAGAGGCAAGCTCTGGGTTGTGAGATGAAGCATGATGATTTTTATGTTTTAAACTTTTCTGTATTATCAAATGCTGTACGTTAAGTATATATTACTTTGATCAGAGACACTTCTGTAAAAGAAATGGCATCAAGAATTTTTTAATTTTTTAAAAGTATTTTATTTATTTATTCGATAGAGATCACAAGTAGGCAGAGAGGTGGGGTGGGGGTGGGGGGGGAAGCATGCTCCCTGCTAAGCAGAGAGACCTATGTGGGACTCTATCCCAGGACCCTGAGATCATGACTCCAGCAGAAGGCAGAGGCTTAACCCACTGAGCCACCCAGGTGCCCCAAGAATTTTTTTTTTAAGATTTTATTTATTTATTTGACAGACAGAGATCACAAGTAGGCAGAGAGGCAGGCAGAGAGAGGAAGGGAAGCAGGCTCCCCACTGAGCAGAGAGCCCTTTTCGGCAGCTCGATCCCAGGACTCCGGGATCATGACCTGAGCTGAAGGCAGAGGTTTTAACCCACTGAGCTACCCAGGCGCCCCCCTCCCCAGAATTTTTTTAAAGATTTTAAGAAATTTAGGGGTACCTGTGTGGCTCCGTCATTAAGCATCTGCCTTTGGCTGAGGTCATGATCCCAGGGTCTTGGAATCAAGCCCAGCATTAGGCTCCCTACACAGCAGGAAGACTGCTTCTCTCTCTCCCACTCTCCCTGCTTCTATTTCCTCTCTCGCTGTCTCCTGTCAAATAAGATCGTTTAAAAAAATTAAATTTAAAAAATTTTAAGAAATTTAAAGAAGAAATGCAGCTAATTACATACTCATACATACCCACTTTTTAACACAGAATGTTTTCCATACGAACATAATACTTTTATACTGGAAAAGTATTATTTAAAAATGCTTAACTAATGATAAATGAAGTGTTACCTGATTCAGAATGCAATCTGTGACTTATGTTAAAACGTTATAAATGGTGATAATCTCTTCAACCTATGTTGGGTCTGCAAACAAGTGTAGTAGAAGACTGTCAAGGAAATCACAGGATCTTCCTACCTCATTCCTAGGCAACTACATCATATCCACCAAAACAAGAACAGTAAGACACCAAACTCCTTCCTTCACTAGGGGAAGTCTGGAAATTCACAGATATACTGCATAGTTTAGACTCCATTCACTTTATCATATCCAAATTGAAGCCATCATCAATCGTATGTGCCACCAAGAAAGAGTTGCCAATTAAACTATAACACATGTTGTCATATAGGATTTTTCTTTTCTACTTATTTAAAGAGTGCTTTTAGACTTAGACATAGATTTTTTTTTACAGTAATGTGCATATAGCGCAAAGGGGAATATAAGCAAAATAAACTGAGTAAAGAATTTCTAAAAATTCTGTACACTAAATCTAACTCTTCTGAATCCCTTTTCACACAAAGAATCAATATGTTTTTTTTTTCTGCACAATATCATCGATAGGACAGCATTTCTTAAAATACCTTAGCCTGATCTCTGAAATTTGCTTCCTAGCCACTGACAGTCATTCTGCAAGTTTGATGCTGGTGCTATCCTATTTGATCAAAAGCATAGTTGTCTTTTTCAGCTGAATCCTATGTCACCATAAACTCTGCAGCTTCTCTGTTAATGGCCACAAAGAAGTTTCTGACATATTAAATTCCATGCCTTAACTACAGTCCTGTATAATACATCAGATGCTTATATCAGCCTCTTGTTGCTTTAGAATTTTTTTCACCTAATCTAACACATTTGGCAATTTCTTTTGCCTTCAGTAGCATCTATTATCATATGACTTTGATGTGTATAGTATTAAATTGCATAAAACTCAGTGAAATGATGACAATTAGAACAGTTATGACCATTTTCACAAATACAGAGCCAATGCCAACAATATCATGACTGCCATTTGGCCAAGGTCTCTTTCTTAAGTAAGACATATCCCAGTTTCAGATACATTAAAATGTGGGGCTAAAATACTTCTTAGAATTGGGGAGATGTATATATTGAGTTAATGAGGAATTATATATTCCAATGGTATATATGTATTTTTTTAATTTTTAAAAAAATTAATTTTTCCAGTTCTATTGACCTACATTGTACTAGTTTAAGGTGTGCAGCATAATGATTTGATAAAATGATTACAAGTTAGTTAACACACATTACCTCAGTTATAATTTATGTGTGTGATGAGAACTTTCTCAATTTGCTCTTTACAACTTTCAAATATACAATAAAGTATTTACTATAATCACCATGCTATGCTTTAGATCCCAAGAATTTACTTATAACTCCCAGGTTTGCCCCTTTTGACCACTTTCACTCCTTTGCCCCAATGATATTAAAATATTCAATGGTATAAGATAGCAGAGGCTGAGAGACCAACTATTGCTCTATTTACTAAACCAATTTGCATTAATCCCTAATGATATGACTTGCATAATAATTAGGCTATTTTTAAGTGTCATTTGTTAGGTAACAAGATCTAAAATATTGAAATGATACTATAAGAACCCAACCTGAATAAGATGCATGCTAGGCTCTCTGTTCTCTGTATACCTTTGTAAAGAAGTCTGGGTAGAACTAGGCCAGAAGAATAGGTAAAATATTGTGAGGTGGAGGTCAAGAGAAGCATACCCCAGAAACATGTCTCAGCATGAGCAAAAACATGGGGGGATGACTGGAAAACATTTATTTAGTGCCAACTGTATGTTAAACATTGCATTCATTACATATAATTCAAACTCTCATTAATCCTATCTCCACTTAAATATGAAGTGCCGAGGTTCAAAAAGCTCTTATACTGTTGATGAGTGGCTGAGTCAGAATCCTAACTCAGGTCTGTCAGACTCAGACTTCAGAGCCCACAAGCACCACATACCAGAAACTAAATTCACAAGAACCGAGAGTTTGTAGTTGGAAGTAGCAGGAGATTCATGTGGCTATATATGGTGAGAAAAGAATGTAGTATGCGGCCTAAACTGAAGGACCTGGATACTGGATGGTATCTGACACTCTCTGAAAGGATGTAAATTTCACTATTGTTTAAAACAATAAATCTGATGGAGCACCTGGGTTGTTCAGTGGGTTAAGCCTCTGCCTTCAGCTCAGGTCATGATCTCGGGGTCCTGGGATCCAGCCCCACATCAGGCTCTCTGCTCAACAGGGAGCCTGCTTCCCCTTCTCTCTCTGCCTGGCTCTCTGCCTACTTGTGATCTCCCTCTGTCAAATAAATAAATAAAATCTTTAAAAAATAACAACAACAACAATAAATCTGTCAACACCCGTCTCAGAAATAAAAATAAACAGATTGTTTGTGGATTTAAA